CTGAGGGGAGAAAGAGTGGTGAGGGAGAGGAAAGAAGGAAAGCGGAGTAAGAGAAAGAAAATGCGAATGCCCCAGCAATGAGCTTAAAGCTGCACTTGGTGTACACATTCCAAGCCAGCAAATCATGCAGCATTCAATCCAAAATTCAGATCGGCTGATTTCTTCATTCAGGTGGGAGACTGAGAGCACCGGGTTGCTCCTCTTTCTTTTACTACATCTCTCTTTTTGTCTCACTCACTGTCCTTTTCTCTCTTGCATATGTGAAACAATATGGAGGAGATGGGTTTGGAGACGGGGGGTTGGGTGGGAGGGCAAGTGGAGATGACAAGGTGGAGGGTGGGCTGGGGTGCAAAGTTTAAAAATATCTCAGACTGCTGAACAGAAGGCTGGGCCATAGCAATCCAGCAGCATACCTTCAATTTCAGCTATTTTTGCTGCTTTTTCCATAATGTCTGAAGTCTGCCTTATAAGCTGATGACAAAACCGGCTCTCCAGCGGAGACATAAAAAGACACGGCAAATTTCTCCACACATCTGCCAACGGGGCTGCACTCTGTCAGAAGTACACTCCACTTGATTTCAAATTATATTTGTAGGTCTTAGGGTCACAGGTTAGGTCAGGGAAGCCTTGGGGATTTGGGGATATGTTCCTCTGTCTGAGAACAACCACACTGCTGAAGTGCCCTTGAGAAACACACTGAACCCGACCACCTTCAGCTGCTGCAACTCATCCTCCACCATGACTAGTCTGAGATCAAGATTTTTATTTTAAATTGGAGTGTCGAGGTGAAAGGTTTAGCCACTTAAACCGCTAGTGGATCAATATAAACTATGTTGATAATCCTTTTTAATATTCATTCTGGGGTATATTTGTGATTTGGGGCTACATAAATAAATGCCTTGAATATAAACATGTAAGTGTTTTTGCACATGCATGTCTGTGCAATGAACACACACTGTCCAAGGCAGCTTTTGTTCCATATGCTTTTTGTTTTAAAAATGTCCATGTATGTCTCTGTTTTCTCTGTCTTTGCCATTCAGCCGTTTAAATATGTGTGTGTGTCTGTGTGTGTGAGAATGTGTGTGTGTGCCATTGCTGGGGGGATTCTTATCCTAACACTCTACATGCATGAGTCTACACTATCTCACAACACACACAAATAAACACACTCACAGATGCACAGGAAACACATATGTACAAGGCAGCGTTTCCCTCTTTAAAAGAAAACAGGGAAAGA